GTACGCCTCAATAGTAATCATTCTCGAATTTAAGGAATGCATGACTCCAAGAATTCGATTCTTTCGTAATTTTAATTAGAGAAATAATTTGAATTTAATAGCGTAGATGAGTTAGGCTAAGGTGAGCATATTGCTCGAATTAGGGTTTGCGATTTTTTGAAAGGTTTAAACGATATTGAGGGGTATTTTTAAGGATGAAAGACGAAGCGACTACAACTCAAGGTGTGCACCTCGAGAGCGGTCACTTAAGGATTCAAGAAGTGGTAGACTCCAAAAATCCACCACTTCCATATAATTTCAAAACAAACGAATTTTTACTACTCTAATTTTAACATAAATAACATGTTTTGAATTTAATAGAAAAAATAAATAAATAAATTTGATAAAATTCTAAATAGAATCTAAATCAAATTGTAAATTAATTATCATAATTTATAAATAAAAATTTAAAATAAATCTGATAATATTACTACTAATATAAATAATGTTATTAATAATATTTATAAACTAAGTTTAGTTAGTTTTTTTTTTAAATATTACCTTATTAAATTCACTAAATCTTATCAGACTAATAATCATTAATCAAATAGGCCCCAAAGCCTTATCTAAAACTGACTCGCAGTTCTCGGAAAAGACAGCCCGCAGTTCTCTCCCTCGGAACACTCGCGCTTTTCATTCTTTCTCCCTCTTTCTTATTCACTATGAATCCATCTCTCTCCTCAAAATCAAACATTTCCAGATCCTTATTTTTCTTTCAAACAAACAAAACCCAAACTCAAATTTATGTAAAACAAAATCTAACGAAAAACCGGAATGAAACCCCATACGATCCACCCCTACTTTCAGTTCTCAACTCCACTCTCAAACATGGAGGATTTCAAACGAGCTGAAGAATATGGTCCTCGCAGGAACAAAATCCCCAATTTCCAGCTCAAAACGACACTACAATAGCGACAACATGAACTGAACAGATGCAAATCCTAATCTTACAGTTCTACGGCATACGCACAACGAATATCAGGGTAAAAAGAATTTCAGCAAAGACTTTAACATAATGAGAAATAGAATGGTTACCCTAATGGAGTGAAGAAAATCTCTGCCGACCGCTTCCGACTTCAGCGATGACTATTGCTTCAGGTGATGTGAACTGCTTATCTCTGTTTCTTCTACTCTTTTCTCTACTGCTGCCGGTTCCTTTCGTTTTTACTGATGAGGACCAAGCTTCTCTTCATTAGAGTTTCAAGGTGAATCTCTAACAAGAAATCTTGCTTGTAGCTTTTGTGAGGGTTTGGGTATTGATTTCAACAGAATAACATTAGGGTTTTTTTCGTATCCCCTTCTATTAATGAGCAGAGTCTATTTATAGGAGGCTCTTTAGGGTTTTGAGTACATGAGGAATTTGAAATTTTCTGAAGGAAAACAATTGGTATTGTGTGAGGTGTGTGAGGTGAGGTGCATTTTGGGTTGTACAATTCTGTTATAGTGCTACACCATGATTTCTGCTTTTCCTGAGGTTTGACAGTGGCCTTTATTTTTTGTCTGTAGTGAGCTCCCAAAATATCTTTTACTGAGTTTTTTTTACTGTGTAAAAGATGTTTTTTCACTGCTCTGAACTTAATGATATAGCTACGATAATATTCTGACTTGCTCTTCTGGCCTTTTTTGTTGAAAATAATACAGGGTGCCATTTTTAAATGTCTAGGAGTCATGGTGACAACTTAAGCTCAAAGTTTCAGCAAGTTCATCCATTGCTTGTAATAAAGCCATGTTGCCGGTTTCGACGGATTGACGTAAGTAACAATCACCAAAGGTGAACACTTCTTATGACCTTCTGCTGCCTGTTATCTCAGATTTCTTTGCCTCTCATGGACCTTTGAAACAAGTGATTTTTTATGAATCATTTATACAATGTTTATCCATGATCCTTGTGTTTTTTTTTTGCTTCAAGTTCCATAAATTATATTGACATCATAATTAATAGAAGAAGGTTCAAACTAACAACAACTTGAATTACAGGTATCCGAAAACAACTTCCTTTAGTACGAGGCATTTTGTGAACTAGGAGGGGGAATATTGGCCATACACGAAGCAGAATTGAATAGAGAACATAAAGGACAACAACTGAGTAGTTAGTGGGACAACCACCTTGGTCGGCCCAATGATTCGCCATTCAGTAATCACCTGAGGTACAGAATTTGAATTCAGGTTGCATTGAATCCAAGCTGACAGTAGTGTTTTCTTTGTTTTGTTATAATGTAATGGGTTCTGTTTCTTACCCAGGATCCTGTGGTTTAATCATCCTTGAATTATCTTGCAGGTTATACGATCATACGATATTGAAAATGCTACAGAAAATGCCATGAAGACAATGGATTCTTGTTTTCGTATCCGGGGAAATGGCATCTCCTCTAACAGCATCCTTTAGGTCGGCAGCCTTAGGATAATGTCGTTGTTAATTGTATCTTAACCAACCAACTTCTTATTTGACGTATGCCTGTCCTGTTGACATTTGCATGTGTTGTGGCATTGCTTCCTCTATATTACTGCAGGCTTTTTAGTTTGAAGAGTTTGAAATGAAGCTCGGTGATAATGGTGTTTTGTTTCTCTGATTCTCTTGCAGGAAAATTATGAAGATGAAGAGAGAACGATGAATTCAATTGAGATTTGGCACTGTGGAGATTCTTGCGCTTAATGAAGAGTCTGATAATTGGTTTCAAAGACATGTTATCCCGGAGTGCTTCAACTTACTAGGTACAGCTCAATGCTTCCGAAGACTATCAATAACAGTGTTGCTTTATTCATAGCCGTAATGAACCGTATCTACTTGTTTCTGCAGGTGTATTAAGGAAATCCTCGTGTGTGTGTGTGTTGAGGATATGGCAGTGATGGAGTACACTTGCTGACCGCCCTAGTTGCATAAGCTCCCTTTAGCATGTGCCATTGAGAGAATCTGATTCTTTGCAGCTTGAGAAATGAGGATTTTGCTTACAGTTTGAAGGCAAGGTCGAGAGCGGTGAACGTTCCATATAAGGCACAACACAAGGATTACTCACGTGAGAAACTAATCTTATGAATCTTGTGGTTTTTTGTTCATAACCTGTGATAGCTATCCGACCCCTTTTTTTTTTACTTCTTGTTGCATCACATAACAGCCTAAGAGCCTTTTTTTGGCATTTTCATATAAACGGTGGAGCAATTTAATTATGCTCTTTGAAGTATACAGCAGGTATCATGACCATTGTTATATTCCTCGCATAATTTTCTTCAACTCTTTCCTTTATGAACCTCACGATTGCTGTTGAAAACTCATGGCAGCTCTTGTGTTATTGTAACTGTATATTACATAATGTGTATATCTTGTGATTTCGCGTTTTGAATCATTTATCCAATCTTGCTTTGATAGCAGGTACAGAGGAAACGTCATGATTTGCTTATCCCACAAAGTACTTAGTTGGATTGAAACTGATTACCGCTTTCTCTCGCAGCAGCTGCCACCCTTAGCTGCTTTTTGACAGTGCTAGAAGCACCGCCACCAATTGATAGTATAGCTTCAAGGTAACTACTAGTCCACTCATTATTAGCCATTACGTAACAGTGGCACTATATTATATATTGGACAATCTTCTTAAACTCAAAGGATACTTTCTTGAATGTTGTTGCCACCAAGCAGCTGGTTCAAGACTTGTTCTTGTGCTAATTGCCAATTCAATTCCAAAATCATCTTGTGTAGAATTATAATGAGCAATTTGTATTGATGCAGATATTCGTCTCAAACTATCTAGATCTAGTCGATCAATGCATTCATTCAGCCCTCGTACTACCTCAGAATGCGCAACAAAATCCTGACGACATCAGTATGATGGGTTCAAGAAGTAAGCAGCCGAGTAAAGAGGATGACAGAAAAGAGGGTTACAATGTCTGTCTATCACCTTCCAGAACGGTTCACATTTTGTCTGCATTCCTCTTGTACACGATTTTGAATCCATCCAACTTAATAAGGGGGCTAACACAAAGACCAAGCTCCTCAGAATAATCATCCAGTACCTCCACCATATCATACTGATGCCTTACCTCATCTGGTGTAGAATGATTCCAATCTGTAGACCAGTTTCTGTAAAACAGCCCAAATTTCTCCGCATTTGGGATATATGCGAACACAACCGCCTCGACCGGCCCTCACCCTGCTTAGAACATGGGAAAAAATGTTAACTTAGTCGACAACATCAGAGGTCATGGCCCTGAAATTTCCACAGGATTTCGTGAAACCTGAAACAAGCCAGTTTACTGAGCCAAACTCACTATCAGTTTTCGAACTCAAGTAACAAATGTTAATCTTGAATGGATTGACAGAGACAACCTCGCGGATCAGACAATACAAGCGGGGCATCCCGTCCTCCTCATCATACAAGGCCCATATTTGCTTTGGTTTGAAGCATGGCTCTGACCTATCTTTATCGAAATCATGAAAGTCGGAATCTGGGACAGTAATTGTCACTGGAACAATTTTCCTAAGTTCTAATTGATTATCAGAAACATTAAGACCTGCTTTAATGTATGCACCTCCTTCGACCTGATCAACATCAGCTTGAGATTTTTTCTCTCATTAGCTGCAACTGCAGCTTCAGATACCAACTTCATCTCTTCCAGTTTTTTCCTTATTTCTGTCCTGGCCTTCTCGATCAACAATTTTCTTGCATCGAAAGCTGGTGCCATGGAATACTGTTTGGTTGGAACTTCACATGTACTGGAAAGCTTCTGGCCATGCCCAACGCTTCCATTCCCATTAGCCAATGCTGACTCTGAAGCACATTTTGAACCCTTTCCTTCATGGCCATTTCTTAAACTGGCTCCAAGAACTTTCCGTTTCTTCTCAGGTCTACTCGGCTTAACCTCTTGCGGTTCATTCTGGGAGAATGATACAACTGAGTTTATATTAACCAATGTCTCTGTCATGCAATGCTTCATATCAGCTTCTGAATTAACTTTCGGTCTTCCCCTCTTTACATTCCCATTGGCCCGTGTGCCGAATGGTATCCGGTAACCCCATTGCCGTTGAAATAGGTGCCATTACTGGGAGGATATGAAACTCCATCATACGAATGGCTTCCATAACCACTGCTAGACCCATACGACCAAGGACAATAAGGGAAGGAACCGTTTGCTGGGGCTATTTCGACAGCAATGAAAATCCCACGACAATTTTTACAAGAAAGTTTCTTATTTATATACTTGCGCAGATACTCATACTGAACCTTGCAAGAAGTACAAATTGTCCAGAAAGTTTCCTGATTACCATCTGAGGCACGTGCGGAAGACAACCCATTGTGATTAAATCCATGCCCAGCACCTACTTGTGCATTCCTCTTCATATCATAACTACCAGAGAGCCTGGACCATGCCTCAGAAACAAGATGAAATGCCCCATCAGCTCCGACACACTTATTGTTATCAGGATGAAGCAACCCAGCCATCTTCTTGTACTGTTTCTTCACAACTTCTATATTTGTCGAAGGCTTTAAACCCATAATGGAACACCAATCAAGTTCACCATTACAACTGACTTGAGAGGCAATGTAAACCTCAAAAGTGGTCACCAATTGAGATATACCCTCCAATCCAGGACACAATGTTTTGGCTTTTAAAGCATAACTTTTCGCTCCAACAAAATCTCTATGAGCAAACCTTTTCTTAGCATTCTCTATCGCTTTAAGTGCCTCCCCTTTATTTGCTTCCATCCAAACAACTTCACAAAACCCTTGAAACTAAAACTAAAACCAGCAAAACCCTTCAAACCTCATTTCATTTCTGAGATTTTGGAGCAAAAATTGGAAATTGAAGAAGTTTCAGATCGCCACATGTCGTTGAATAAGCTACAACAAAATTGAACTCGGCACGGTGCAAAAACGAACTGGGGAAGAAAGAAACATGGAGTGAGTGTGGAGTTGGCCAAGGGAACAATTAACAAGTTTGGGCGCTCATGAGCTTTACAATATTTCGAAATAAGATGTACACACTACTTCTCATCTTAATCCTTCAATTCAAGAAAGAGCGTATGCCGGAAAATTGTGGTCAGATCTGTTGTACGGTGGCTTAAGTAGTTCTCACGTAAGCTTCTCCACAACACTTAATTGGTGATGATTCTCACGCATGAAATGCTCAAACATCCAATGTTTCTCTGTTATCAGTTTGTTATTTTCCTTATATCTGTTGAAAGTCCCTTGCTTAACATAGATTCTATTTACACACACATTCCTTCATCACAATTCATCAAAAGTGGTGCTCCAGACATCTTTAATCAAGTTATTTTTGTCGAAACTTATGTTTTATGCGGGATGCGTTGCTAATGATATTATACTTTTGTTTACAATTCTGCAGATATTGGCCTTCACCTAATGCAGAGCGGCGCGGTAACTCCGGATTAAACACTCTTGTGATGTGTCTTCCATTGTGTCTTTCAAGGAGGGAAGAGGATGTGGCTTGTAGAGCAACCTTCGAGGCGTGAAGGATCAGTACCTTTTTGACTTCGGGGAGCTTTGAAGAAAAAAAAGAAATTGGCATGAGAACCTTCAATTTCATGGACTCACTTATTCCTTTCTTCTAGTCATTAAAGCTTGTGATACTAAACAATGCATATTGTAATATCCAAATTTAATGTAATACCTCGGTTCTCTTGGCTTTACTATTTCATCACTCAGTAGAACTCTTTTCTTGTAATAAATTTTAACATTATTTTGAGTGAACCAGGCATTGAACAATATTACCGTAAAAAGCCTGTGTGTCGTTTGCGTTTTAACCTTCAAATTCATTTTATATGACACATTGCTATTAACAGGCTTTGCTATTAGTTTGACTTCTAAAACACCCCATGGCTAGCACCATTTAACATTGGACACAAGGCTTGTAGCTTTAGTCTTAAAAATGATGAAACTCTTCTCGGAAAATGTCTTTGAAACATATTTTGACATTCTTATTCGTAGCCCATAGGAAGGGTCAAAGTGCCTCCTACACAACCTAAAACCTTACTGGCAAAACTTGAAGTATAACCGGACATCCTGAGATATTATATGAAAAATAGGCTTAGGAATTATTTCCAAAATATGTTTTGAAATTTGCAATTTAAATCTAAGTTTGTCACAAACTGATTTAAAATTCAAACATAGCTTGACGCTCGTAATCAATTTAAGCAAGGCTTGAAGCTAAATCGACCGTATCTAGCAGCATCATGTGAAATATCTTTGAACGACTTGAATTAGGTGCATATCATAACAAACAACTTGTAATGAGGCTCAAACGACCTTTAGAGAAGTTTGTAATCCAGTTGAAATAGGGTTCAAATTTTTGAAAACCAACAATCATGCATTTTATGCCATCGTCCATATATATCTGATCGTGATAATGAGGACACATATGAGTTTGGATATAAAAGCTGGGGACACGTTCTTCATCATAAATTACTGGGGATTACAACCACAATGTGTACACACATGGTCTTTATGAACGAAGTCTCAGATAGTCATAGCCAGAAGTCGTGAAACAGTCAAGTCTCCATTAAATACCGAAGTAGGACAGATTTGGGGTATGACAAATGTCTCTTCACCACTTCGTCAGTCAAATTCTCCACTTCTTTTTGGGGAATCATTCCACTTCTCTTCAATTGTTCTCCAATAACGACCATCGGAGTACGGACATCTTCAACATTTGTAATTAGTCTCAAACCACTACTCTCTTCCACAGCATTGACAAAAGGACCTCCATGTTTAGGTAACGGATCCTTCGTAATATTGGCACCTCTAGGTGTAAAAGTGAGATCTTTGGACTCTATCAAGTCTTGCACCCTGTTCTGAAACGCATAGCAGTTGTCTATGGAGTGTCCAGGGGCTCCCTTATGGAACTCACAATGAGCATTGGCATCGTACCCAGGAGGATATGGAAAGATTGTCGGACGTAAATCTCGCAATGTTAAGTGTCCACTCTGATTTAGCTGAGCAAAAATCTGTCCATATGACATAGGCAACGGGTCAAGTTGTCTTCTTGGTTGTCTCGGCCTTTGCTGTCTCTGAGCCGGAGCATTCTGATATTGCGGTGGAGGAACTCTCTGATAATTCTGCTGCTGATTCTGTTGTTGGGTTGGCTGTTGATAAGGAGCTTGGACTACTGCAGCTACTTGTGGATATTAAATGTCCACTGGAGCTCTATCTCCTCGCCCTCTCATCACGACATTAGTTTCATCTTCCCCTTTTCTTCACAAAAGGCTTTCTTCCTCCATTCATTGGGACTGCAGCCTTATTCTTTTTCAAAGTGCTATCGATTCTTTCACCTACTGACACCACTTCAGCAAAGTTAGGGAAACTGGACCCAAGCATGCGATCCAAGTACTGAGGTTGTAGAGTTCCCATAAACATGTCAGTTAACTCCTTAGTCAGCAATGGTGGTTGAACACAGACAGCCAACTCCCTCCACCTTTGGGCATACTCTTTAAATGACTCATTGTTACGTTGAGTCATATCTTGCAGCTGCGTGCGATTCGGTGCCAAATCAGTATTATACTGATAATGTTGTGAAAACGCATATGCCAGATCTCTCCACGTACTGATTTATCCTTTTTCTAACTGCATATACCATTCCAATGATGCCCCACTGAGGCTATCTTGGAAGTAATGTATTAAGATCAAGTCGTTATCAATGTGAGCCGCCATCTTGCGACAATACGCTCTCAGATGGGTTTTGGGGCAGCTGACCCCCTTGTACTTCTCAAAGTCTAGGACTTTGAATTTCTTCGGTATCACCAATCCCGGAACTAGGCACATGTCAACAGCATCCAACCCTGGAGTCTTTTTGATTTCCAATGACTTGATTTTCTCTTCAACAGTTCATAGTCTATCTGCAGCAAGGTCATTAGTAACCCCCATATTGTGTTGAGGAGGAGGTGGTGGAGGTTGGTAGAAAGAATCATATTGTTCATCCATGTATGCTTCAGAGCCCTGACGCGCGGAAGTGGAACGGTCGACAAGGTCCACGTGGGGAGTTTTAACAATCCCAGAAGTTCCTATATTGTCAGCCGCCTTCTTGGCATCAGCAAAAGTCTCAGAATTGTTTTCTTTTTGGGCTAATGTCAGCATTGTCTCCAGTAGCTGGTCCATCTTCATCTTGAGAGCGTCGATGTCACCTCTCATGGTGTTCTGAGTCTCTTCCATCTGTTCCAGCGTCATTTGGTAATTGCGTCGAGTTTCATAACGATGTTGAATAGTCAGCTTAGATCAAATCTGATGGACGCAAAGGGTAGAAATTTAGAATCGTGCGGTGTTGGAAAAAAAAGATGTGTACCATGATATGCAAGATGATATGCATTTGCTTTTCATGGAATTCTCGAATTAATTGCTTAACATACACAAGAACATTGAAAACAAGTTAAACCACATTCATTCATAGAAGGATAATATTCATGTGATACAAAAAGGAAGATCATTCAAAATACAGCCCATAATGTTTAATTAATAAGAATAAATGAACTTCAAACTCTTGGCCTTTGGGCCTCACGTTCTTCTAACTCTTCTTTGAACCTGCTCAACATGGCCTTGCACGTGCACAGAAAGTCACAGATACCGTGGGGAGTAGAATCATCCATCGCTTCCATAGCATCCCTGTGCTTCCAAACCAGATCCTTGGTCAACCAGTTGCAGAACTCGATTAGACCGTTGAGTTTGTTGTGATACATGTATCGGTCAGCTATTAGTATATGGATAGACCTCTCATATCCCTTAAAATCACTAGCCGTTTTCTCTCTTGCAGCAGACCATATGGCTTTATCTGCTAGGACATCTTCTATTTGCTGCTTCAAGTCAGCTGCATAGTTCTTGACAGAGTTTAACTCTATGCACACCTTGTCCCAATCAGCAGGCTTAACCTGAGCAACCCTTAAAGCCCCTTCTTTGAGCCCGCGTTCCTCTATTTCAGCAGCTCTTGACTGGTGTAAAGCAGTGTCCAGCTTATGGATTTCTGCTCCCATCTCCTCTCGGATTGTCTTGTTTCTTTTGGTAGCTGCAAGCCAGCAGTCTTCATTTTGAACACATTTCCTCCTAACCCTGTCTAGTTCTTCTTTCAGCCCCCTCACCTTGCTATCGGACTGATCAAGACATACCTTAACCTTTTTCTTTCGATGCTCTTCTTCATCAGCTTTCTTCCCTACTGCCTCTAACTGGGTGTTCTTGCGCTGGAGCTCCCACTTCATATCATTTTTCTCACTGGTGACTTCTCGAAGTCTCACCTCAAGGTTCTCATTCTCTTTCAACAATTTGGGTATGGTAGCTTTGAGGTCTTCAGGTTCTTCTATTGGAAAATGAGTAGGTTTAGGTTCAGGCACATGCTCATATACCTTTTCTTTAAAAGGCATCTTGACCTCATTGGCCCTCTCCCTAACCCATACAAAGTAAGGCTCTTTAGTTATACCATTTCTTCTTCCCAATTCATTTCTTCCTTTCTTCTTAATGGTCTTCCAAGCTCTTGTAATCTTTCTGAATAAATCAGGGTTCTCATACCCTAAGTCGTGCATCAAGAAGGCTTCAAGGTCATTTTTCTCAGGAGGTGCTACCATAGGGTACCCAAGCTGCCTAACTGATAACATCGGATTAGAATTAATACAGCCTCGAGTTCCTATTAGCGGGATATTGGGAAATTCACCGCAACTAGTGATAACTTCCTCAAAGTCTTGTGAATACCAAGAGAGATCAACAGATCT